TGGCTTCTTTGTTTGGCTTTACTTAAACACCCTGTTTCCCCCCCTGGGAAACCTTAAGGCGTTTGGACTTCAACCCCCAAAATCCCCCAGCCAGCCATGCTGGCTGGGGAATTCTGGGAGTTGAAGTCCACACGGCTTAAGGTTCCCAAGGATGAGAAACAGTGTGTTAAAGTAAAGCCAAGCAATGAAGCCAAGCAGGGCCACAGAACCACCTTTCCCAATCCGGTGCCTGCTAGATATGTTGAGAATGCAACTCCCAGAATTATCAGTCCCCCTGACCATGGGAATTCTGGGTCTTGGAGTCCCCACAACCCTGGAGAGCACCTGATGAATTAGGACAGGTGATCTTACAGCTTCCTAAGAACCAGGGGCAGGAGATTCTTACCCAGAATTCTGGCATCTTGCTTCATCTCTCTGTGGATCCGTTTCAGCCCAACGCCCACAGGAGATGGCTTCATCTCAGCCCAGTTTGCCACTTGAGCTCCCCGAGTCTGAAAGAAGAGCAGAATGCAGGACCTTGAAAAACCATCATTTCCAAGGTCTTTTGCTAAGCCCCCGTTTATCACCAGCCCCAATGAAAGACAACGGATGTCCCACCAGAACAGCTAGCATCCATTTCACCCACTCCCCTCCATCTTCCCAGAATTCAATAGGCACTGTCACACAGTTTTTCACATGTAGCTGCACAATCAGGCTGCATAACAGGAGGAACAGGCTGGTCCCACTGCCTCACCCAGCTGGAAGCTATTCCATCCTTCTGTAGGAATATCTTTCACCCAAGCAGTCATGATGAAGAACTCTGGGGGGCTAAGATTACTTTCCCCACCTCTTTCTCCATCCTTTCTTCCTTAGTATCATGTTATGTGGTATAGGACCAGATTATTTGTAGGACCGCCTGTCCCCAAAGGTATCTGCCCATCTCCCACGCTCCAACACAAAGGACGCACTCCAGATCCCCTCACTGAAATGATGTCACCTTATGGGACCTAAGGTTTTACTTGTTAAAGCAGTCTTTCTCAACCTTGGGAGCCTTAAGACGTGTGCACTTCACCACTCCTTCTCGGTGGTGGCCCCTACTTTCTGGAACGATCTTCCCCCAATATATGATTGGCCCTGACCCTTTAGAAAATCAAGACCTAGCTTTTTCCCCAAGCCTTGGGTCACGATAAGTAGAGCCCCAACTGGATGAATTACAATATACATTACTTCTGGTTTCCATTACAGTTTTAGTTGGTTTTTAATGCTAGGTGTTATTTTTCTTTGTGATTTGTATTTCTTGCTGATTTTTGTACACTGCCCAGAGTCATGTTGCTTAAGTTAGGCAGCCATCTAATACTCTAAATATAAACAAGCAAATGTCGTGTAGATTCTTAATGTGAAGGCAGGGACCCTCTTATTTATAAAACATTTATAAACAAGGGAGCTTTATAAATAAGGGAGCTTGTGGGGGAAGAAGCTAAAATGTTTTGGAAAAAGAACTCTTACGGGCTAGGAACCTGATCTTGAAAAGAAGAGGAAGGTGATCCTCAAGAATTTAATAATCTTTCTGATCCGTAACCCTGGCTAAAAGAGGAAGAGCAAACCCAGCCCAAATGCTTACATAAACTGGTAAACAGGTTAAACAACAAACTATGGCAAAAACAAAAGAATCACAGAACTGAAAGGGACACCTCCTCTATTCGGGATTCTAAAATAGTTTATTTAGAAAATGTGCATAGCCCCCCACTCTTACATACATAACCCTAAGTGGTTAATAACAATCCACCCAAATACATAGTAAGACCTCTATCAAAAATATACAAAACAAAACTTAAAATCGTCATCCGAGCATTTTGTGCAAAGGACAAGGAAGCTCAGCGCTAGCAAACATACCTGTTTTTCCCTTCTCTCGGCCTCTTGCTGCCTGCGCAGGAAGGCCTCCGCCAGGGGCACAGCTTGGGCGCACGACTCCGGGCCATGCTCTCGTACCCAGCTCTGGATCTCCTGGGGCAGGAGGGTCAGGAACTGCTCCAGGACCAGGAGGTCTAAGATCTGCTCCTTGGTATGTTTCTCCGGCTTCAGCCACCCCCGGCACAGCTCCCGAAGCTGGCTGCACACCTCCCGGGGGCCCCGGGCCTCGTGGTAGCGAAACTGCCGGAAACGCTGGCGCTGCGCCTCCATCCGGAGGGCGTCCACTTTCAAGATGGCCGCCTTGACTTTGGCGTATTCGCCCCGGTCTTGGAGGCTAAGGTTACTGTAGGCCTCCTTGGCTTCCCGGCCCAGGACAGGCAAGAGGCGAGCCAGCCACTCTCGGCGGGGCAACTGGCAGGTTCCAGCCAGACGTTCAAAGGAGGCGAAGAAGGCCTTGTTGTCCCCCCAAGGGACGGGGTCCTCGGCCAGCTGCTGGTGTCCCTCCCCCAGAGGAGAGCACCTGAGAGCAGAGAGGAACTCCTGCCACTGGGCTTCCCAGAGTTCAGGCAAGCCCCCCTCTGGCTCCTGCTTCACTTGCTGTGGGGCGGCCCAGTTCAGGAACTCTCGGATGGTCCCCACTTGGAGGACCCGCGGCAGCTTCCCTGCTCTGTCCGCTCCCTCTGCCCTTCTGGGGCCGGTGGTCTCACAGGCTTCCATTTTGACCCCCACGGGCCTCGGGAAGCCCTCGGCTGTTCTGGCCCTCTGCTCAGCTGCCATGGCCTCTCGAAAAGCAGAAGCAGGCCTCGGGGGGCAACAGAATTTGCAATTTCAGTCAATCTTGGGCTGGAAGCTGACAGGACTATCCAGAATTTGTCTTTGTTTCCCTCCCTTCTCTCTCAGCAGATAAGGCAGTTTCCCCCTGGATCTTGGCCCAGGAGGGAAGGGTTTTAAAGAAGCAACTGGCTGTGCAACATAAGTCAGCAGCAAAGTGGCACTCTCTGAGGAGAAAAACAGAGAATGTGAGAAACTGCCAGCCCCAACACTTTTATCAGGAGGGGCTGTAGGACCAGAATCTTGCAAGCCTGATTGTGCCGTACCCCCTCCCTTTCTTATACCCACGAGAATGAGGGAGGTGTCTCTCTGAGCCTCTTCCGCATATTTCCTGCTTGTTTTGGACTTAAGCAATGTTTTTCTCCATGCATCGCTTTGGTAAAAGACCTGGCTTATCTCTGTCAAGATCCACTTCCTTACTCTCTGCAGAAGCCCTGCACAGATGATCTCGGGTAGTTTTCAGCTCAAGCATACTCAATGAGTTGATGGGTGAAAAGGCTAAGCAAGCGTAATGGAATTGTCAGAGCCTGGGAACGGGAATTCTAACTTGCAAAGATTTGTGCATTCCTTCCTTACGATCAGGCAAGTGGGGAGCACATCCCCACTGTACCAAGAGACAGTTAGGAGAAAGAGGACACTTCAACCTACTTACTCACAAATGGACTGCTAAAGAACACACATCCAGTTTCCAAGACACCATCACCTAATTCTTTTGATTGATTGAACGATTATGTGCCATCAAGTCAGTGTCGACTCTTAGCAACCATTTTTTTTTTTTTTTATCTGCACTCAGTCGCTGCCGACTCTGCAGTGACTGCTTGGACGAGTCCTTTGCAGTTTTCAAGGCAACTTTTTTTCGGAAGTGGTTTGCCAGAGCCTCCTTCCTAGGGCAGAGCCCAGCTGGCGAGCGCAGGAGGCGGCGTTTCCGTTGCTTCGCGCCCTTTTCGGGCATGCGTGGTTTTTCACGCTTACCGGCAACTGCTCCCGACTCCTTTTGCAAGGCGCCGCCAGCATTTTTCCTCCCACCAGCGTGAGAGTCCCCATTTATCTACTCACGTGAGTTTTTTTCGAACTGTTGGGTTGAC